AAACTTAAAAAAAATTTATGTGAAAAGAGCTTCAAATTTCGCATTTACAGTAATACTTAACTATTTTCTTTAAAATGGCTCCAAAATTTTTCAATGAAAATTTCAATATTGGACGATGTTATCTTTTCTTTAATATTCTTATATTTCGGTTCTACCATTACAATGGAATATTTATTTTGCTACTTAGGAATACATAGAATATTTCTGGTGGTTGCGTTTTCTAAGTAGTTTCTACAAATACACTACACAAACAATCGAAGGAACATTACAATATTAACATATAACTTAAAAAAATACAAGATTAATATAAGCTGACCTAATATAAAATAACAATAATATTCTTTTAATTTTAATGTGAACATATTCTAAAATTTTACAGTTTATTTAATCTAATTTAAAAATGTTTCACATTCGGGAAAGTCTTCAGAACTGGTGCAGACAATGATTTTTAATTTTGTATTTTTCATTTTACAAATGAGAATTTACCTACATCTGTTTTGTTTTATTTGCTGATTCTAGAACCATGATCCTTTCGCGAGACGTATGTGGGTTTTGATAATCTTGTCCGCACATCCCCTCACAGACGATCACCTTGTATTGATTTGAACAACACACGAAGTCGTGACTTCTCTGTGCGTTTTTCCGAAGGTTCCCAAGATATAAATGCAGCATTAGAACGTTGTCTCGATCACATTTTCCGGCATATTTTTGTATTTTTCGAGAGATTTTATTTGCCCTATACGATATGGGTCCCAACATATGGAGCCATAAATCAATATCGGTCGTACTAGAGATGTGTACCCTAATTCCCTTGGAGTTTCCACTTCCTGTCCTAAGACTCAATCACAATGTGTAATATCTTCCTCGTCTTTTCACTACATAATTTACGTGTTGTGCCCACCCCAGATACTCGTTTAGTACAATTACTAAATACTTACAACATTTAACCCTCGGAATATACTGATTTCTCAATTTATATGGGATGTCTAAAACGCGCGAATCTGATAAACTTGCACCTACTGGAATTCAATTTCATTTTATTTGTGGTAGCCCGTGATTCTAGCCTATCTAAATCAGTCTGCAATATTTCTCTATCACGTGTGTCTTTAATTTTTCGATACATTATAGTCTTCTGGAAAAAGTCGTATTTTAGATTCAACTCCGTGACAAATATCATTAATATATGCTATAAATAACAACGGACCTACGACACTTCCCTGTGGCGCTCCGGATGTCACTTCTACCCTCGAAAAGAAAGTTTACCCAATTTGCACCCGTTGAGTACGCGGGCTAAGCGATTCTCAAATCCAGAGTGCAACTCTTCTGTCTATGTTAGGCTTACTAATTTTTTGGTTTAATTTATCATGGGAAATGAGGTCGAACGCTTTGGTGAAGTCTATAATAATTGCGTGAATGATATCGAGAGAATCAGTAATGTCCAGAATGACAGTTTCTATCTGATTCTCAAATGAATATCCTTTTCTGAAACCGTGTCGCTCTTCGTAAATGATATTATTCTAATCCCATTTTCTGCGTACGTATTTCTCCACTAAGTGTTCCATTTGCTTACACACTACAGATGTAAGAATTACTGGGCGATAATTTTCGACATTTTGATGCGAACCTCCTTTTAAAATTGGAACCAATATGGCAACTCTCCAATCCCTAGGAATACATGAATAGAACATTGATATCTCTAAAAGCCGCAAAAGATACGAAAACATAGATTCCCCTCCTAATTTGAGAATTTCACCGAAAATTCCAGCCGCTCCTGTTGATTTATTAATACCTAATTTAGCAATAATTTTCTTATTAAATGAAAAAGTTGAAAACATTTAAAAAAATGACTACGTGTAAATGTGTATGTTGTGTGGCGGCAGCTGGCAAATGATTGTGGCATGACAGAAAAGCTAGGCCAGGCCAAAATATTAGAAAAGTAAATAGTACGTGAAAATCTGTGCCATTCTGATGCCCAACTAATTTTGCTTTGACGCGCTACTTAATTGAATATTTTCTTTTTATAAAATAATTTCCAATATTTCAGATTTGTTGCATCGTTTTTCAAGAATTTTTAGCATTTATAATACAATATTAATGCCAAAAGATATGAAATCATATTTATTACGATGTCCTTCCAACATCTCAATCATCGCCAGAAGGAATATCCATAATAAAAAGTTTATTGCAAATTCCAATCTGCGCCACATGAGCTATGTGTAGCTGGAAAGCAACGTACACGAAGCCAATTTCAGGAGCTTATAGAAAACAAACACAAAACATCTTCATGTCTCAATTTCGTCATACGCCAGACGGACGACATCGGGCACCGGGTGACCGGCTCCAAGAGGATTTGCCCATCCCAGCCCAACTCGCTCTCTTCTTTATGACGTTTAATCCCGCAGCTGGAGACCCGCCACCCGCCACCCGCTTCCGGCATACGGGGGGTGGGAAGAGGGTGGATGGGGGTGGGACGGGGTGGACGGGTTCGAGCGGCTTCCGCCCTGGCCGCTTCCGGCGAAACCGCCATCCCCGACCCAATCCCCGAGTCCGCCGCCGTCCCCGCGTCTTCCGCCGAATTTGCGCGTAACTCCCCACCCCGGTCCCCGCCCCCACTTCTGCCTCCGCCGGCGCTGCCTCCCCTCCCCTCCTCACCCCCGTGGCCCACGGGGCCTCCGACAGGATTGCGCCGTAAAAATTTTATCAAGGCTCAGCGGGACGGAAGCTGCCGCGAAGAGGGCGCCTCCCGCGGCGGAGAGCCCAACTAGGGGCCGGGGAAGTGAAGTATCAGAAGGATGGCTGTTCTTGTTATACGTTTGTGGGAGGTGTGGGTATCTTATATATTAACATATTTTTTCATCAATAAACCCGTAGTTTCCAACGACATAACCCACTTGGCAGGTGAAGAAAAATGTCGGAATATTTTTACAATTAAGAATTTCATGTTCAATTGAATGTGGTACAATTATTTTTAGAGAGACATGGACTTTTGGGTATCACAATGTACTGTAAACTACTAAACCGGTTCTTATATTTATAGTAGGTGAAATTAATAAATAATAAGATTAATTCTTTTTCGTTGGGAATACCACAGGAAACGTTATTTTATTACCTGTTTATTTATGATTTACTGCGCCTTCCAATATTTATAATTATCTGCCACTTTGCCTCAAACTAATCCAGCAATTTTCGGGAAATTTTATTTTTGTGTGGATTCACGGAGCTCCTCATACGGTGATCGGAGCGCTATCATCAGTTTTTAACAAAAGGATAGGTGGCTTAATTTTGATTGCTATTTTCATCTCTTACTTACAACTGAAATAAAAACAACAGAATTTCAAAATTCAGCATTGCAACCTCAATAACCGGTGGTAATGTGATTTTATTCCTACATAAAAAATTGATACCTTTTACTGTAATTCTACTGTTCTATGTAACATCACTATCACATGTACAAAATAATAACACTAACAAATACTAAATATTTATACCTTTTATTTGAAAAAAATCTACTTGAAAACTCATTCACACAGAAAAACATGGACAGAAGGAAAATCATTCATGCATACGCGCATTTATTGAATATATGAAGAGCAGCATCCGTCTGTCTTCTTGTTGCTATGACTCCCCATCAAATTCAAAACAATTGACATCGTCTTCGTTTGTCAATTACTGTAGAATGTTATTTAATTTTCTCGTTTACTTTGGATACTACTTGATGTCACTCTCTCTGTAATTAAGTCATATATTTTATTTCGTCTGCATTTTTCATTCCCTTTTAATTTATTTTAGAACTATTCGTTTTATTGTGTTCGATCTTTTTTCTATTTTTAATTTTGCTTTTGATTTTCTTCCAAAACTAAATTCGTAAGTGAATGTTTATAGTTATTAAAAACTCTTTATTTTTTATCCCGGTCTGTTTGTAACACTATCTCAGCTCTGGCTCAATACAAATAAATGCCACTTTTTTCGAATTCCTTCACTTGTTTATTGTAATAATCTCGTTTCCTGAACTATTAAAACAAATTGATTGTTTTGACGAATCCGTATGGATTGTCACACTACTGAGACTTTTTGGCGAATGCGAAGGTTACCTTGTTTCAAATTACATGGGAGAGTTACATTACTTTTTAAGCCTTACAAAAGTTCACACATCACAAATATTCAAGAACAATAAAGTTTTTTCGGCTGTGTGATTATTGTGATTTGAAATAATATAAACAATTTTTCCGCAATACACGGTGATCTTAAATTTTCAAATCCGTCACAGAAACAAACGAAGGAAAAGTAGGTGGGCTCAGATTACGGAACAATGCTGGGATATTGGAAAGTTATATATTTTTGCATCACGGATCTACGCTTATGTTTATAGTCTTCATTATTTTCAAAGTCTAAAGTTCTCACCTGAATTTTTGCATATAACTTTCTCCTTTATGCAACATGTGTTTAACGGATACTTCGTGTAACTGGAGTTTGGTTGGTAAAATAGCAGATATTACCATATAATGAAGCGAAAATTTATTTTAAAAAACATCTTACTGCAGCATCTCGTGGAAACATTTTGGAAACCAATCTATTTAATCTGATGAACTGAGGGAAGTTTATCGCAGGCTGCTAACTGGTTTGAAGAGTTTGTGTACACGTATAGGGATCAGCCGGATAATCTCAAGTGCGTGAGATGCTCTTTCAAACATGAGAGGAAGACTCACTAGCGATGATGTACTATATAAACTCCTGTAGGTTTTTACAATAGAATTGAACACTAAAGGAACGAAGTTGCTACACTAAATCTGATTTTATGGTCGTTGATGATGCCTCACGCATCTTTTCCAGGTTGAATTTAATAAGATTGATTTGTAAAATTTGTTACGACCACTCAAAAAACTGACACCAACATATGTTCAAAAACATGTGAAATTTGTAGCAGCCAGGACATCTTATTTATATGTTTTTCACCTTAAAATATGGAATACTTTCTCCAAGGAATTATTTTTAACCCTAAGGAGAGTTTCCGTCAACCCCGGCTGGCTTACAGCGTACTGCTCGAGTCTCAAGAAAATGAAACGAAGGACGCCATTAAAAAAGATAAGCAAACGGAGGCGACCTGGAATTAGCGGAGGTAATTAAGAAACGGAAGTCTTCCCCTTCCTTTTGGGAAAGTTAATAAGAAACGGCGCTGGCTTTCAGAGTGTGGAAGGCGTTGACTTCACAGAGCCAGTGTGACCTGAGGAGGTACGGGGAAAGTACTCTCAGTGGCTGATAGGAGGTGATAAGATGGCGAAGGTTGGTGAACTTTTCATCCTGTTGCAAATCTCAAAGGCACAATGCCTAGCAATTACCTTAGGAACTTGCGTGTTTAACACAATTAATTGAATTTCCTGTTTCAGGTTCACTAGTGATTATAAAATTGTGCTCTAGATTGAAAAAGTAAAATGAAAATTGCAATTTTAGATTTATTTCCAGGTTTCCTCTAGAAACTGTAGACTCACTTCAGAGGTAGTTAGAATCGAGATTTTTTATAATCATAATAGTGCTTCGTGTTTTTTTTCTTTCTGATAGCCGATAGCATTATGTCTTGAGGTTTGAACTCGAGCATTTTTTTCATTATTATGTTTTCACTCCCTTTGAAGCACTACAGTCTAATGTAAAATGTCTTATAGTTCATAACATATATTTAGGAATATTGATTTAATGAGAGTTACAATTTTAGTAATGCTACAGGTTACATGTGGTACAATTGTTTTAAATTTATAATAGTAATCTGCTTGTGTGGTTTAAAAGCGGATAGCCTTAATAGCCGCTCAGTCTCAGAATATGCACAGTGTTTGTGCTGCCAAACATCTCTTCTGCACACTGCTTCAAGAGCTGAGTAACAAAAATCAGATTCTGGGAAAATGTCAATACATTCACTACATGGCTAAGATAACAGAATAAAATACTATAAAAATTCTGTGACAAAGAAATAAATTTTATAAATTTATAGGTGGATATACGCGCAATTTACGTTTATAGCTGGAGGGCAACGTGTGTGTCGGGCATGCGAATTAAAGCAGAGGTCCTTGCAATTTGGTCCGTTGTAACTAGTGCACATGTATTGCTGAGTATTGCTGGTCTCTATATAATCTTTTAGAGCTGCGTCGCACTTGACATGGTCGTCCAGGGTGTAGACAAGAAGGTCGGTCCCGACCTGCGTTGTGAAACTCCGCGAGGCAGCAGCTGCCAACGAGATGGCCAGCCGAGCTTCCTGGGCGCCTCATGAAAAGGGATGGCGTATTCACGCGTCGGAAGAAGCCTCCCGGATTCCCTATTATAATTTTTATGAAGCCCCGACGGGCAGAATCTTCGCCCGTGTTGCACCCGGCGCGCCGGGCACTCCGGTGCAGCGAGGGTAGCTTTTCGCAGCTGGCCCCCTCGACGCCATCGACTCCGGCCGCTTTCGTTGCAGCCGCTCCAGCTCGATGTGAAGAGGAAATGGGGGTCACGTTTCTTAGCGGTTTTCTGGCTGTCTGCGCCAAGTTTGTTTTGTTATGAGTACAAAAGGCGTTGTCTTGCCATCATTGTTTCTATTATATTAGTATTAAATATATTTTAATATTTAAAAAACAATGTTTAAGTTTTTAATACCATTGAAATACTAAGGAGGTTAATGAAAAGTGTACGACAAAAAATGTTTATTTTTTTTACAAACGCGTGCACCTGAAAAACCAACGCTGTCCTTCAGTATCCACTTCTTTTCACCGCTGCCCATCGTAACCTCTTCCCTTCTCTACGATGCAATGCTTGCTCCATCAGTCCAATCGCGTCGTTTCGTCTGTCTTCAATCAACCTGCAAAGCTTTCTACCACTTTCATTGTGGCCATCACTGTTTCTGCTAAGGATACAATTTACCGCGTCCCGTGTCACCGTCACCCGTCACCGCCGTCACCGTCCCTGTCACCGTACCCGTCACCGTCACCCGTGCACCAGTCACCGTCACCGTCACCCCGCGCACCGTCACGTCCGCCGTCGGACCGTCGCCCGTCGCCGTCGCCGTCGCCGGCTCGCGTCGCCCGCGCCCGTCGCCCGTGCCGCTCGAGCCGTCGCCGTCGCCGTTCGCCGTCGCCGTCACCCGTCAAACCGGTCACCGTCACGCCGTCACCCCCGACGCCTTAGCGTCAACCCCTTGACGCCCGACGGGTCGTACCAACCGCACTATAGCTGTGGCCGTTTTCTCATCCACTACCCTTCAGCCTCTGCAGCAGTTGGCTCGTAGTAGGGACTGTGATGGTTCTAATTTTTTTCATCCAACGAATCAAATTCATGAAAAGAAAAAAAAACAGAAATATCCATTTATTTGTTTGTAGGGCCGAAGATTCTGCGGCATACACTGTAGCCTTGAATGTCAACTTACTCTCTTATTAAATTTAAAAGTATTTCCAAATTTCAAAATCAGAAGGAAAAACATTTATTCACAAACAAAAACAAACAATAATAAAAATTAAAAATGAAAAAAAAACTTTGCACACTTAATAAACAAAAAGGAAAACCAACCCAATCCTAACAGTTATTTCAATATATCTACAGTCTATGTCTCCTAACCGTGACAGAGCAGCTTCAGTCCATACCTTGTCCTAATCTACAAGTCATAAAAAGGTCGTCTAGATACCCCAATCTTTGAATCTCTCCAACATTCCAACATATTTTATCTGTCAATACTTAAAACATTGAACTCCTCTCCATGTTTTAACACGAACTCCATCTTATATTAACAAGTTTTTCAGCCATCTACCTCCAATGAACCGTTCTCCATTCAGTAAGACGTCTATTTCGTTCTAGTTGTTGATTTTAATTTCTGCGTATGTTATCCGTCACTGGCAAGAGAGCACTGGAAGAGTCCGACCTTGGCAACCTGTGTCCGACCTTCCGACCCCTTCCAGTTTAAGAAGGCTAAGTTGGCTGTGACTATCATGGCTCTGCCTATCATGAACATCATCTTTATATGAAATATCCATGACAATATGACTCGTTACAGGGTCTAACCTCGATTAACACATTTGTTCACGTGTTTTCAATAGAGATATTGACCATTGTTGATATATCATCATTATCAATAATCATCGATTCACAATCAATTTTGTTAAGTTAATTAATCTGAAGTTGCTGTTAAAAGAGTGGAACAAGGGGTTGATATTATAAGTAGCAGACGATTTTTCCGACGATGTCAAGTATAGCAAAGTCGAAACTTGTGTAATTACAAATCGATTCGCAGATTTGAGCATAATACTGTTTTGTCTATATGGGAATAATTTTTACGAGACGTTTATCTACCTTACTCATACATTACTCATACTTACACCACATTACTCATACATACAAACAAATTTCATCAATAAATCTCCATACTCTAGAACTCTTAAATATTGTGCTTGCTCATGACTTCCACCAATTCTCTTTCACATTCCCATTTTAGTTCATGCGTTGTTTCCTTGAATTTAAGTCTCACGTACAACTCACAAACTCTCTTACAACCCATCGTTTTCTCGCGCTTCTCTATTCCGCAAAACAATTAAGACTATCGTCAGAGACGTAAATTAGGGAACTACTCTGTGAGCGAAGTCATTGGGGTCATACTATTTTTAACTGTAGCTTATTTATTTGGCGTTTACTTTTTTAGTGGTTTAATTCGTTTTCTCTTAGCTATTGTTTTGCTCAGAGGTTTTTAATACCACAGTATGAAACTTTTTGTTAATAAGACTTGCAAATTAATGAAGTTGTTACTGTAGATTTTACAATATCTGATAATGATTTGTGACATACGGTTACTGAGATGTATGAAAGAAATTTGTTTAAATGAATATGGGGCTGTGGCACTGTTAGTGTTGAATATTAGTCGCCTATGTCATGTCGCGTTTTTCAGGAATCAAAAGTTCACTGAATACGTATGGGCGACATAATTGATTTGCACAATGATAAAATCTAAAAAAGTGTTAACTGACAAATTGGGTTCCTTTGTTCTTGACATAAGATCCTTTGTTCTACGTCATAACAATAATGTTTATGTTGTGATTGAGAAACATGGCGAGAACGGCTGTTGTAAAACAAAGCAACAGAAATATGTGTAATGAATGCAAAAAGTATAATTATTATTTCAATAAACTTGAAGTCTAAATATATTTTTTTATAAAAGAGAAAGCGGTTTAACTAGTGTTCCACGTAGTTCAATAGTTCTTAAATTGTGTTCCATGGCACTATACTCTTTCGAAAAAATAATCTTGTGTGTTCGACAAACAATTATAAAAATATTTTCAATAAATTACAAAACAATAACACTTAAAACTAAGTCTTTGATTTGGAGTTGGTTACCAATTAAAAACAATAAATTTGATGTTATTAATTTTCTTCGCGGATATATAGAACTATAGAAATTGCCCAGGTTTTTGAAGAATTCTGTGTTTTTCCTTCGAGAACAATTCAGTGTGCCCTCGAGACAGCAGAAGCAGCAAGTTTTAAAGCATTTTTATATTTAAAACTCAGCTTGTGCGGAGGAAATTTTTCACGAACTTCTCGAGTGAACATTCCAGTGAAGAGAACCCGCCGACAGAAGAGTTCCCCACCTCCACTACTATGTTCACTACCACTACGCCCCACCATGTGTGCAACACGAACACCATAACCTCATCGATAGTCATCTTCACTGTGATTGCAATAACTTCAACCACCACCACCACTAACACCGCTACCACCACCATCACTAACACCACCGCCACTGCTAATACCACTTCCACCTCTAATGCCATAAACACTTTCACCACGAACACCACCACCACACCACTACCATCACCACCACACATCACCACCACAAGCTCATCACCTCTTCCACAGCACCATCACCATCATAGCATCACCATCACAGCACCACCACTACAGCATCACCATCACAGCATCACCACTACAGCACCACCACCACAGCACCTCCACCACCACCACAGCACCAGCACCACTACCACCACCACCACCACCACAGCAATAGCACCATCACCACCACCACTACCACCACATCAGCACCACTACCACCACCAATTCATCACCACTATCACCGCCACCACAGCACCACTATCACCACCAACTCAGCACCACTACCACCACAGCACCACCACAGCACTACCGCCACCACAGCACCACTACCACCATAGCACCACTACCACCAACACCACCATCGCCGCCGCTCCCACCGCCGCCGCCAAATCCCTTGTGTCACGCTCTCTCGAATCAACATCTCCCGGGACGAGTGGTCAGAGGTCGCACCCAGACCACATAGCCAGCCTCCGGAGGGCTGCGGTTGCGCTCGGATCGGATCGCATTCATGTATCTTTCATGCCACCCGGTCGCGTGAAATGCCCTTCCCTCCCACTGACAGCCTTAGGCGAATGAAATGGGGATTCGGTCGTACTTATTGGCTCAAAACCTCAAAACGGAACCATTTAGAATTCGCAATAAAAATGTCACAATAAACGAATAAAGAAAACAAATGACACTGTCAATTTCATTTGCTTGTTATTTAAATAGGTATGATTATCAATTAATATTCTAATTGGGGTTTTATTTTTTGACTGGAAAACACGAAATATTGTGTACAAATATTATGAAAAAGAAGATGCAGTAAAATGTTTAGTTTACACTGAAAGAACGTTACTACTACCGTCCTATTCCTCTTATTTCGAATTTTCGCGCCAATTTCTGAGTGACTTTTAAAATAATTGTCCTCATTAATGTTTCCTTTTCGTTCTGAACCTCGTTGGAAAGCACGCTACTCGGCTAGTTTGTGTAATTTGCTAGCTAAGAGCTCTCTTCATATTTTAAATGGTTCTCCAGAGAATTTCTGGTGAGTGTGTTTCCTTGTTAGCGCTTGCAATTTCTGTTTAGTTTTTAACTTAATTCTGCTGACTGGAGACTTGTATTTTGTGGGAAATTGCTGAGGAGAATGCAGGTTTACTTCATGATGAGTATCTTATCAAGTTGCCCATTAAATTATTTTCATATCTCACATGGCCCTTCAACTTTACTTTGAAGTAACAACTGTAATTGAGTCCTTTGTTTTAGCTTTTACCCTTTGCTAATTTCCTGAAAAATACTGTCGTTTGAAATATCTTACATGTTCTTTGTTTCAGGTAAGTGCATTGTCTCTGGTGAGGATGCAACCACATCCTTGGTGAGTTTTGCCCGGGAGAAAATAATATTTTAGCAATTATGATGTCTTTTTGTATGACTTACAATACATGGAAATATAAATATGCGTTTTGTATGTAAGATAGATGGGATTCAATTCACTCTGTATCAAAATAAAATATGATACTTTTAAAAAAATACGTAAATAGAAACCCTTACATAACATACTCTTATTCAAGGTTATTTAACCCTGAAGCAGCGTAGTTGAAGTCCAAGAAGGCAGATTCATGTCTCGGGTATGCAATTTCTGATAAGCAATGCTAAATGGCATATAAGCAACACTATGTGAAGAAAAAAGAAAATATTATTTTATCTCATGTTATTATTTTGATTATTTCAATAGAGAATCACGTTAATATACTCAGTTTGATATAAAAAAACCCTTCAGAAACAATACTTTTTTCCATGTATCACATGTTCTCCAAACTTTTCAAATCAGGAGATAACAGATTCATTGTTTTGCAATTACTCATTGTTTTCTGTTTTTTTATACTTTACCTAATCTCGTTGATTGTACTCGTATATTGAATGACCCTGCACTTCTTTTAAAAATATTTTCCCTAAAATAGAATGAATTGACTTGTATTTGAACATAATCAAAAAAGTTTGGTTAAAATGCGATTTTAAAATGACTATACTTTTTATTTTATTTTTATAATAAATATAAACAACCTTTTGTTTTATAAAACACGAAATGTTCACGAATTAATTACCATACCCTCTCAAAATTAAATTGTTCTAACCTATTGAGTGAATAAGGAGAATGGACATGGAAAAAAGCATTTAGAGTGGCAGTCTCCATATGTTTTTGTGCAATCCGTGTTTTTCAAAGTCTGTCGTGTTAACATTTTGTAACGACCATAATAATGTCTGTTTCGTGGTTCATTCCACTCAGTGAAGCTACAGAGGTTTTAAAAACTCCCTCACCAAGGACAATTACTCGCCTGGGAGAGAGAAGTGC